GACGCACCAGCCCCCGCCGCCCACCGCCCACACGGCGAGCAGTGGCCAACCCCAGCTGCTGTAAATCGAATATTGGTTAATCTTTAGTACTACGTCGCGATGATGCTTGAATCCTGCCGCGCGGGCAACTCCGCCCGAAACCCCCTAATTGACCCGTAAAAGCTATATTTTATGTGCAGAGAAACACCCCAGAGAAACCCACTCGCTCGGCGGTGCAATGCACACGTACTGTACAGTAGTCCTACATACAGTACTGTACTGTGTGTGCAGGGCCCAACAACAAGTAACTCCTAGTAACCTAACGATGGGCCCTGTACACTTGGACCCAGCATGGGACAGAGGTAGTGCAGGTTGGGCCCGTACACTTGGGCCCAACACTAGTAGTGCATGCAGGGGTTGGGCCTACACACTTGGACAACGATGGGCCCTGTACACTTGGACCCAGCATGGGGCTGAGTTAGCGCAGGTTGGGCCTGTACACTTGGGCCCCCGGACCCGGCATGGGGCAGAGGTAGTGCAAGTTTGGCCCAAGAGGTAGTGCAAGTTGGGCCCTGAGGCTGATAGTAATTACAGCCACTCGACGCAAACAAATAGTCCGTGCATACAAATAGTCCGTCCGTTCACCCCCGCTCCGGCGGCGGCAGCACCCATCCCACCACCACTCCGTACTGCTGTTTCTCGTTCGGCCTTTCTCTCTTTGCTCTACTCCTTCCAGTTCTCTCAATTCCGCTTTGCCGTCGCGCAAAACCCATCTTCTGCCCACGACTCTGTCGTTTTACTACGTTCGAGTTTGAACTCACGTGGGAGTGGCGGAAGGTTTACTGTGATTGTCACCTTGGAACCTCGCCTGCAGCTCTACTACCTATCGTGGACGCCGTTGCTGTGTCGTTGGCTCACTTCGGAGCTTCTTTGGCCTCGTGCCACTACCTATTCGCCTATATTCGTCGATCCCAGTGCTGATATATCATTTCGCTTGTCGGCATCACTGTTGCGGGTTTTTTTCTTATTCTCACCGTTCGGGTCGCCTCGTTGTTTTGGAATTTGATCTATATTCCACAACTGCCTCTTCGCTAGAGCAGTTTCTGTTGATACCAGCACTCGTTTTGTCCGAGTATTGGATCTTTTCGCCTTGTTTTTTGTGCTCTTCATCGTCTTTGCTTTATTGGGCCGGTGGACATTACTGGTTTTTGCTAGTTTTTCAGACTTCCGGTGTAGCTTTGGGCTTTCTATCTCTTTGCTTTACGGTCTACAGTATCTTTCTTCATGTCTACCAGACCCTCTTCTTCAAGAGGAAAGCAGCTCTCGCACGCAAAATTGTGTGAAGAAGCGGCCTTTGGTAGATTTGTTTCTTCTAAAGTTAGAGATTCTTTTATAAAAGCAGTCAACTTTCAAGGAGACCGTGAAGTAAAAGCACCCTATTCCCTTCTTTCTACTTTGCTTCAGGTATCGGAGCGATTTAATGCGAAGTTAGAGAGCTACCGTGACCAGTTCGAGACAGGCGATGAGGTTCTCGAGAGGCCACCAACTCCTGGGAGAGATACGGAATGGATGCAGGGCGAATCATACCCTGAAGCACTGGCCGCTATTACAGAAGCCAATACCGGGGAGAAAGAACCGGAGTTCCTAACTGAAGATGAGGTAAGCTGGAACGGGGAGCTTGGGTATACGGGATCACTTTGGCGCGAGTGGATAAATGAAGAAGATGATGAAAAGGCAGAAGAAATGAACAGGCTCGCAGACAGGATAAGGAAGAAGAAGAAAATTCGAATTGAGAACTTGGTCTTTAATACTTTACTCAAGGAAACCACTTTTTTGACTCAATCTGTTGACGAACGCGACCAACAAGTTCAAGAAGCTATGTTGGAGCTTTCCAAGCGCACTGGAAATCGTACGAGAAAAAATAGAAGTGGAAAAAGGGCTAGGCATGCCAAGCGAGCTAAAGAAGAGAGCGCAGGCCTTTCTAAGTCACAGAAGAGAGCTAGAAGAAAGGCATCAGCCAAGAAGAAGGCTTCGGCAAAGATACCGTCTAGCCGAACTGGTTAGTAAAATAAAATTGCTTACGAGGTCTAGTACCGGCCTTTTCTGTATGTTCCCCCGTCTACATTTCCCATTTTCTCCAAATTAGAAGTTTTAGTTTCAAAATTTAATTATTCAAAATGTTTTAGGTCCAACTTGAAATATGTTTCCTGTTTTTAATTTCCAGTTCGACCTGTACAAAAGCTGCGTCGGCCTCTGTCCGATTTTTCTCTTGCTCTCATTTCCAACGACACACCAACCACATCAACCAAGGCAACTTCACTATTTCATTACCCAGTCCACCCCACTACGTCACCAAGTTATTTATCTACTCTACCAAGAAGCTTACCCACGGCAACTTTTGTTGCCGTTTTACAGCGTTGAGACAGGTCTCACGCTGGAGAGGTTTGCGCCCAGGTTTGCGGATCGCAACGCTTTCACCGCTCCGAAGAATCAAGCTACAAGACCGCTCAAGTCTAGAAGTGAGAAGGTGTACTCAGTTGTGCTAACGAAGATCAGGCGGCTGCCGTCCGGTTAGGAGGTACAACTTCCGAAGAGTACACCTAGGGAATGAGGCCACTGTTGACGAGCAGTTTACGATGCCCTCGAGGAAATAATTACTCCTCCCCTTCATCGCGGGGTAAAAAGCGGGGCGGAAACAACTGCAACCAACAGGATAGAAAGCGCCGTCGAAGGATTCTCACTTTCATGAGAAACGCTTCAAGGAGAAATCTGTTTCCTCGTCCTTCTATTATGGGCGCTTCACAAAAAGAAGATGATGAGAGTGCCCTGCAGGAGTTTTTGGATCATAATCTAAGGCAAGAGCTTGCAGGAGACAGTGGTTCTAGCTGGATAGATTGCACTTCCGCCGGAAAGCTACTCCATAGCATGCTGCTTGACGCCGGTTTGGGTCAGTTTGAGCCCGAGGAAAGAACACTGATTGGAACTACCCATCTTGGAATAACTTTGACAGGAGAGAATAATCTACGACAGAAAGACAAATCCCGTAAGCTTAGCATGATAATAATTAAAACTCTCACAGATGGATACATATATTCTTCTTCAGAAAAGTTCGCGCTTCCTCCAACCCTTTTTGTTCCGATACATATGAGCACGTCGGATTGTGGGCATTGGGGATACGTAGCTGCGGTACCTGCTGGTGTAGAGCACTGTAAACATGTTCGAATCTACTATGGTGACAGCCTGAGGTGGCAGCCACCAGCCGGAATTCTTGAGACTCTTCAGTGTTATCTTTGCCATATTTTCCCAAAGATAAAGTTTACTGTTGCCACTGAGAACCATGCCCTTGACACATTAAACTACAAAGAGCAATTGGATGGATTTAGCTGTGGGTTTTATGTCCTATCGGCTGCTTCCAACTTCTGTGTGAAGAGAGGATTCATGCCAGTAGAAACATTTAAAAAGAGAAGTAAAAAGTTGTCCGAAATCTTTCGTCAGGCTTGTGTTCGAGCCCTTTTGACTATGACACTCCGCGCAATAAAGCACTTCGGAAGCATAAAGATATCGGACTGTCGAGTTGTATCATACAACAGCGAAAGAAGACGAAGCCTTCGTCTGGAAGGTAGGCGAAATGTGGATATTTCCAAGAAAGATTCTCAAGATTCGAAGCACGCATTGAAAGAGCAACACCCATCTGACTCTGACATCATCAAAAAAGGGGATGACCATGAAATCATGCCAATAACACCCGTAGTTGAACCGACGAATGAGGACTCCCTTGGTTCTTTGTGTGGAATTTGGGATATCGAAGAAGAAGAGACCTCAGACGAGATCGATTGCGAGATTCTTCCCTCTTTCCACAAGCAAAACACGCCTAGGAGCGCTTCATATTCCTTTACAACTTCAAATCCACAAATCCACAGCCCTAAGTTGATGTGTGATAAACCTACGTTTGAAACCATCAAAATCTCTGGCTGCGACATTAGTTCTTTGCTATTGCATGATTACGTTTTTATTGAGGGAGTAGACTTACAGCCTTCTCATATACGAGAAAATGTGACGCTGGCAGGAGTCAACTTCGAGCCAGGGAATAGAGCTAATGACTCTGGAAATGGGAGACAAAATACTCACAGTCGGCCTATCTCTCTTTTGAAGACTTCGAACGCAAATAAACGAAACAAGTACGGCGAAGCTCAACCTAAGAAAGGAAGAATTGGAAAAGTAGAAGAAAAGCA